GTTCTGTTAGGCTTACTATCTGCTGAGCTAGACCTGTTTTTGTCGATAGAAATGATGGCTATGACTGCCTCTTAGAGTTTAGGACACGATGAGGTGCCCTCTCTCTAGAGTGGAACTTCCTATGATCTAGCAGTCATTGGAAACTCAACTTACAGTTGCATAATAGACAGGACGTCTAGAGTAGTGTGGTCCTGCTTTCCAAAACTTGATGATGATCCAATATTTAATTGCCTGCTAAATAATAACTCAAGCCTAATTGTATTCTATTCAAATACATCAGCAATAACGAAACTTTTTTAGGGACTTTTTGAGATTAAATTGGAAAATTTTGAGTCATCTGTTTAGTTTTATGATGGATGCGATTCACTCATACTAAAAACCAGATTGACATCCAGCGAGTAAATATTGGCTTATTTATTGACTCTTTATAGTGGAGAAATAGTTGAGGTAACTGATTTTTGTCCAAGATTTGAATCAAATGGCAGGTCCTTCAAACCTTCAATGCTAGTTAGAATTGTAAGAATAATCAGTTAATTAACCATTGAATATTTAACAGGTTACTCCAGTTTAAGGGGTTCCATAAATTTCTGTTAGATGCCTAGCATCAATACATTATAATTCTCAGTTTCCTGACATTGAAACAGGCTCAAACCATATTAAATTTGAGGGAAGTGATATTAAAATCAGTAAGTTTAATCCTACTAAATATATAATTACAGGACTGTAAACAAACTTATCAACAAGCATAATCAGAAACGAAACAACCTTTGCTCTAGTTGAACCACAATACTTCATACTCAGCTCTGATGAACCATTTAACAAGTCAATTGAGAAGGTCGCTACTGAATACTTATCCAAGACTAAATCCTATTGGTTCAATTACTGTCGAACTATCAATCTACCCTTCTCGTATTAGAGATAGGTGATGAGATGTGTCATGTAACTTAGACTCTTGGCTTTCGATGGTAGACATTATTTAATTTAATCAGATTTTATTAGAGACGGGTGGAATAATAAATTCATTAACTTCTTCGATTCCAAACCAGATTGAGGACGCTCATATTTCTGATATGAGGTACTGCTGGCTCAAAGATTCCATATTTACAGTAAACGCTCTGCATAAAGTTCAAGCAATTGAGACTCTAGAAAATTACATTTCGTTTTTGATAAACATAGCTAGATTTAGCTTGAAGAAAGAGATGCCCATCGAAACAAGTTATCATCTTGTGATTAATAAATCTAGAACATATGAATAAGAAACTGTTTGCCTTGCTGGCTATGAAGTAAGCAAATACATAATATAACTATTGTATAGGGACTTCATAAGATAAACATTGGATAACCATTTTTTAACTTTGAAATGGATTCAGTAAATCCAATAGGTTCAATAATTCTAGCCATAAATTACATGTTTTATGACATCAGACTTATTAAACTTTCAAAACAGGCAAATCTAAGTTTTGTTTAGGATGTCCTTGTTAAACTTGCAGAAAGAGCTTACTGTATTTTCAAGAGACCTCTTAAGTATCATCTGTCTTATCTTAAGATGGCATAAGATAATTTAAATGCTTACATTGAAGGTCTAGCTCAAAGCAGTGGCCCCCAAAAGATTGATTACCTAGAAAAGCTAAATATAGAATACTATATGAACAAAGTAGCTGAAATAAAAAAGCTCGGCATAAATACTCACTCTTTGGTACTGATCAGTACAAGTTTTAAATCTTTGTCCTAACTCTGCTCCAAAATTGCGAAAAGATCTTAATCAGTTATGAACTTTTCTTATGAGAATCATGATGAAGAAAAGCATGATAGGTACTTAATGGAATAAAGTCAAATATGGGAAATTAGATCAATTGAAGTGAAAGAATTCGTCAACAAGTATGGTTGGTGTAAAAAGAATCAAACATATACCTCCTTTATATAAGTAAAGCAAATACCTGGTAAAGAAGAGGAGCAAGATAAGCTTCTTATGCTAATATAGAAGAAGTCAAAGCTATCTTCCTCAATTAACCTGAAACATCTTGATATGCAACTATACTCTCATATTGAATAGCAACCTAATGCTAATGGAGGTTTTGATGAAGAGGAGGAGAAACTCTATCACTTGCCAGATACTCACTTACTTCTCTGGCATGATCTAGATTTCATTACTCCTCATGACATCAAGTTCAAATAATCATTCACCAGACTTTAAGATTATATGATCAACAACCCAAATTTGAGACTATGCGAATACCTATGGTATGTTAACAACATAATACAAACGGACAATAAAAGAGCTAGGGATATTTTCAAGCAAATAACTAAGTAAATAATATTCACTCCAAATATCTCTAATTTAAAATCTTAAATATAGGTAGTTTAATGAGACTGGATTTCTTCCTACTTATGCCAGTAAAGTCATTTCTCCCTTGATTACTTATCAAAGCACTGTCCTTAACTCCAGCAGCCATAATATGTCCTACGAGAGTAATGACTATGGAGGACTTCACAAGACTATATCCACTTAGGGAAGCGAAAGTTCATTAATATCAATCTAGCTTAATGCTGAGAGCAAATACCTTGGTAACTTTCCAGAAAGCTAGTCTTTAGTCCACTTCATAATAACAGCCTTCAAACTCAGTAAACAATGGGAAAACATTCTCTGAGGATGAAAATCAACCGCCGAGTTCTACAGAGACTGGGTGAATAAATGTATAAGGGATTGTTCAAGTTTATTGGATCCCCTAGGAACGATAAGCTCCAGTAAGAAAAAGGGCTAATTTATCATTCCTTAAATAACTTCATACTTTAATATTTTAATTTACGTCTGTCTTTTTGCATTTGTTTTAAATTGTTTCTATTTTAAGATCAGGGGTTTTGGGGTTTTGGGGTTTTGGGG